CCCCCCCCCATAATCAAGTGTGAATGAACATGTAAACTTAGCCAGGTATTAACAGAACTTGGGCTTCCTTCCACACACAGCGGTTCAGAGCTACTGTGCGAATCCTGGCTGGCGTGACAGAAGTAAAAAGCAAGCAGCTTGAGTGAAGAGAACCCAAACCAGACAGACAAGAACGCACAGAACCATGGGGCTGTATGCAGCAAGAGGGGGGGAAAAAGGAGCATTAATAGACACCACATGTCTGCATATTCTGGAGTCTCCATAGCATAAATTTTATTGCCCAACGCACAAAATAGGCCGTCTATAAGACGACGTGTAACGTGGTCCGAGACAGCTACCATGTAAAAAGTGGGCTGTTATGCGTGAGAGTCATGGCCTTATCTGTCACACTGGAGGGGTTTTAAAAGGGGAAAACAGGGGTAGCAGCTGTTTGCTTCACCTGTMCTGTTCTGTACACGGCTCCCCATCAAACCAGAGGTTAGCGCTCTGCTAAGGCCCGCACCTTCACGCGCGTTCTTCCACAGCGACGGCAGATGCAACCCTCCCATCTAACGTGATGACATTCACAAGACCGCAGGCCCTCTGTTTATCACACATGTACAATTATATGGTGATCCGTTTGTATAAGCACACCGGTTACATTGGAGGAAATGTCCATGAGGCCTTCAGCCAGCCTGCGCTCAGCAGCTAGATTTGTAAGCAGGATGGACCAACAAGGAGAAAAGCATTGTGTTCTACTTGTATTGGACCATTGTTGTGTAGGATAAACGACATGATTTTTGTTCATTTCTTTTTAAGTGCCTATTTGTCAGGAGCTGGAACTTTTTCTCTGACTTCACTGTGCTTGCAAGTCTTCCGGTATAAGAACTGTGACGCCACGAATATGTGATTGAATTGTATTTAACTGTTTGCACATGTGTTCCCTTGTTTAAAGAGGGGAAAAGTTACTTCGGCGCTGCTTAAGCCGTGGATTATCTGTCTGCGTCCTCTGCCTCTTTAGCATCAACACGAATTCACCCACTCAAGAGTTCTATCGCACATTCGCAGAGCTCCCTGAGAGAGAGCGGACCTTAGGGAAGCCCGAGCAGGGGAGGGCNGGTGGGGGGGACCTCGACAGAGCCGAGCGGGGTTCTAGCTGCGCCCATAGGCATGGCCCTCTCACTCTCTGGCAAACACTTTGTTAGGCACACAACACTAATCCTCCTTGTGTCTTTATTGCCCTCTGTGCAGAGGAGCAGGCCAGGGCTGTTGGGGGTGTTGGGGGGCACCGCTGCAAGGCCCGGTGTGAGCAGGGTTCCTGTTTGAAGATGGGCCACACTGTACAGCATTAGGACATCTAATAGAAGCAAGCTGAGAGCAAAACAAGCTGATGCTGAGACAGAGAGGGAGAAGAAAGAGGGAAAAAAGGAGAGTCCTTAAATATAAGCCCCCCTCTTCTCTACATCCTCCTCCTCTTTCTTGGGGGGGTGCAGAGGGGGGCATAATTTGAGGATAGGCAGATTACTGCAACCAGAAATGACTGAGGGGCAATTCTGGCCCATGTTGTTACACATACTCAATAAGCTAAACAACACATTAATGTGCTGCCTTAATTTATAAAACAGCCTCTGTGGTTGAAAACCATTTGTCATGGACTGGATTTGCAGGAATCTCATTTTGGATATTCTGAAGCATTTAACACAAACTGTTTAATGAATGTTGAAACGTTTCTTATAAATTGTTGATCCTAAAACTTTAGATAAATTGTGAAAAATGAAAAAAAAAACTGTATTCACACAAAATTCAACTTTTGCACATTTCTTTTTCTCATCAGTTTCCAAAAGTGCTGTACCAAGTGATCTTTCCACAGCGGTCCCCACTCAGCTGGCGCCATCGTGTGTCCGAACGGAGCAGCTGAGCGCAGAAAGCAGGTGCAGCAAACTCAATGTCACCTTTTTCCCCTCCAGCTCCTCCAGCTCTCCCAGCTGTCACCTGAGCGCTTGGCAGCATAAGGTGATGGCATCAAGATGCAATCAAGATTATATGCTTGTCACTCATTCGGTGCTCTCGGAGGCCTGCAGTGTGTGAAACAGACACGAGATAAAGCCTGCGCCCAGATGGGAAGATAAACTGCTTCTAAATATTCATCACTTTTCCAACTGCAGAAATGTGACCCATTAGATCACTGACAGGGGAAATTGGTTGGAAAAGTGCTGCACAAAAAGAGCTGAAGTGAAGTAATGTGAAGTATAAACAAATAAAAAAATCATCTGAAATGTTTTAATCTCTGCCTGTAGAAGCTAATTCTCACATTGAATTTTTGTAGCTTTCTTCTTGGCTAAGAATCTCAAAACAGGGAATATCTCAATTAAACAGAGCCTCTTCTTGCAACTACATCCACATTATTTTCATGTTTACACAATTTTTATCATATGCAATAATAACAGGATTACTTTGCGACAAACAGTAATTTGAGGAATTCCCTCACTTCGGTTTGAGGATTTTCTTTTTGCTCTGCCTGTTTTATATTAAAGGAACGCTTCTGCATTCTTGTCTCCCCCCAGGTTTGAACCCAGAAACCCTTCAGGTTTTCTAACAGACCTCTGTGAGGAACCAGATAAAAAGGAGAGGAAAAAAAGGATGATGATGCAGGCAAGAATGAGCAAAAAAATAATTATAATAGTGTCATTTCCTCAAATATCCACTGATGAGGGTGTTTTTACTGTGCAGTCAAGTCAATTTTTTATTCAAGAAAAAACATTACTTAAATAAATTGCACTTTGTGTAACAGTTTACATATAAAACTGACACCGTTTATTAAAAGTCTGCATAAACTGTTGTTTTGAGCAAAACGTTTTCAAGTTTTTTTTCATGTAACTGTTTTGATATTTGAAGGCTTTACTGGGGAAAAAAGGGATTGTTGCCAATCATCCCATTTACAGCATTCATGTTTATTTCCAAGCCTTGTTTTCAGTCACAAAGACATGAACCTTGAGATGAGAAAACCCTGTGCAAACGTTTTCATTCACCAGACTCTTTCCTTCTTGTGTCTTATTCTWAAGTCACTTTTGAAATGTTTTCCCAGTCCAATCGTGCTCTTGATGATAACACACTGAACAGAATTAGTAATTGTACATAAGTGAATTAATGTATGGAAATTTGCTCAAGTTCCTTCTTCAGGTCTGGTTCAGTTGATCCTCAGCTGCATGTGTTGGTAATCACAGCTGCTTCTTGAATTCACTCACAGGCACGCAACAAACAACCTGCTGGCAGCAACCCCGGCGCTTTCGTCTAATCCGTCGTTTCACTGGGTTCTAGTTTGTTATGAGAATATGACAATGAATCTCAGCAGCAGAATACACAGAGGCACATAAGGCKGTGCGCCTGCACACTTCAGACATAAAGTCTGGGATTTACACTGGAACATGGGCCCCTAACTCTCTCAGGAGACTAGTGCAGAAGTTTTCTTAAACTTTTGAAATCTTAAAAATACTTTGTGATGTTTAGGCCTCATTTAAATCTACTTTGATTAATTTGATCAAGTGGTGAAGTGGAGTAATTCCATTCAGCAAATTAAAAAAACAACAACCTTTCACTTCCCTCACCCAAACATTTTATCTTCTAAGTCAAAATAATATTTGACTGCAAGGCAGTCAGTCATAGGAATAAAGACATGAAAAAAATACTAATAACAAACAATAAACAATGAAAAAACCGTAAAGGTAATTGTTTTCTTCTTCAAATTCTTCACTAAATATTTGATCAATAGCTCCCTCTGCTGGAAAACGTAGTAAATTACATACATTGGCTCTAAAATGTGGAATATTCGTAAATACACGCAAACGAAATAAATCATCGACTTAAAAATAAAACGTGGAGCTATAAAAGTAGTTTAGCATTCAAAGTTTAATTCTCTTGTTACATGATCATTAACTAATGCATACATTTACTTTCTAATTAATATTATCAACAGTAAAACTATCACATATCTATTTTAAATACAAGGAGAAGAACATAAGTAAGCTATTTCCAGCTGTGCAATCTGGCCATCAAATAGAAGGGTTGCAGTTATAAATAAAAGGTGAATTAAACATATTTATTTACTCTCATGAACCAATGCAGTTATTTTATTGATGATTGTTTTAAAGTTCAAATATCTTTCGTTCAAATATTGGTAATAAAAATAATTTATTTCAACAACGTACGAATAGGCAGTCTATTTGACTTACGAAGTTAAAAGTTTGAATATAAAATACTGTTAATAAAAAGGGGGATAAAAACACGCGGTCTGGCAACCCTTCGTTCCCTTTGCTAGCATGAGCAGGTCTTCCTTTGGCCACTAGAAGTTACTGCGTGCGTTTGTATTTCTGCAGAAAAGTAACTGTAAAGTTACGCATCATGGCAGGAAAGAGAGCGATAGTGATCCTGTCTAAAGGTGCAGAGGAGATGGAAACAGTTATCCCTGTGGATATTATGCGCAGAGCCGGGGTTTGTACTTGACAAGATGCTGAATGCTAACAGTTAGCAACATAGCGTGCTAGCTTTATTTACGATTTCAGACGCTTGACCGGCAGCAGTATCACGATTTCAAAGTTTGTGATTTAAGTTTTTTCAAAAAGTCATTAATAACAGTAATATATAATAGTGTCTGTTATAAAAAAGGATATTGTGCGCCTGAAAATCTGTATTTGCAGAGAGTTTGRGACATAATGAATGCTAACAACATTGTTGTGTTTAGCTAACGACCCTTTAGCATTTATTGAATCGGTAATGTTTTATCTGCAGTTTGCTCGTTGTGTCTCATAACCTTTACAGTGAGTTCAGTCTGATGCCAAGTTTAAATGTCAAAGTCCAACCTCATTTAACCTCAACACTCTACTTTCAAAATAAAAGTCTTAACCACCGTGTTCAGTGCACCAAGGATGCGATAGAGTGCTGTGAACCTGCACTGGTGTTCCAAACACACACACTCACTCTCTCTCTCTTTTATTTATTTGTTTGTTTGTTTGTTTGTTTGTTTGTAGATTGCAGTCACGGTTGCAGGTTTAACAGGAAAAGAGCCAGTCCAGTGCAGTAGAAATGTTGTCATCTGTCCTGATACAAGTTTAGAGGAAGCCAGCAAACTGGTGAGTCAGTTAAAATTTTACACACTGGTAATTATCTAAAAATCCCTCAGTGTTTTTGTGATATTCTTTGCCTAAGGTGTGCTGTCAGAACAGATTCAGTGTAACTTTTGGAACTGATTCTTTGAATATTTTGGAACAAGGGCTTACGTCTATCCAGCAAATGAATAATCAAAACCAAATCAGTGCCTTTATTTCTCTTTGCTCAGATAATCCTCATTTGGTTTGTCTCCCAAGGGTCCTTATGATGCTGTGGTTTTGCCAGGTGGAATGCCAGGTGCCCAGAATTTGGCAGAGGTGAGAAAACGCTGCTTTTATTTAACCCTGCTCCTCCGTGTTTGTATAATATAGTCAGTGTCACGGTGTGTTTTCATGTGGCGTCCGAATGAGTCACTGTGCATCTGTTTTTTATTCTCTTCCAGTCAGTTGCTGTAAAGGAGGTCCTGAAGGATCAAGATGGCAGAAAAGGCCTGATTGCAGCCATCTGTGCAGGTWCACCTTCTGAAAACAAACTAACCATAATTATACACAACCATCCTCCAATAGATTTGTTTCTCTGTTGGAGTTAAATATGATGTGACCTCAAACATGACTGTCATGCTTTATTTTTTTTGTGGAATTTTACTTGTGGTGTGGAAATATTTTGACAAGAACATGTGTAAGTCACTCAAACAAAACTAGCTTTTTGTCAGGCCAGGGGACAAACACCCAAATTTCAACAAGCTTTTGAGATGAGAATTAGAAAAATWTTGTAAACAACTTTGCCCCTGAAGAACGTCCATTTTATTTAACAGCTTTTATAAGTAGAGGAAGGAAGGACAAAGAAAAGACATTTTGAATTGGGACATGGGACCTATGCAGCTAATTAGATTGTTGAAGGCTGACCCAGAAATGAGTGAAATCCTCATAGGAATTTACTCTTAAATGGAACCACCAAAGGGAGGCCTATGCAAAACCCATTATACTGTCATAACACGGAAGTTGCTGTTCTGATAAACTAAAATCTTAATTGCAAATAATGAAATTGCCTTCATATTTATTTATTTATTTATTTATTTATTTATTTATTTATTTATTTATTTATTTTAGGGTTACAACAATACATGTACCCGTATAGAACCGTTCAATACACACTCGTATCGAACAATACAGATTTAAAAAAATTTTTTTTATCAGCTTGTCTTTGGAAAATGCTCTGAAATGAAGGATCAGTGGATCTGTGTTCGACTACTCCACCTAGGCTGCATTGTCGAGTGCAGATCCACTGAGCAACTTGCTGTTTCAGCAACATTTAATTTAAAAACTGTACTTTTGAGGTTAAACAAATGTTCATAATTAATTTCGATAAATTCAAGTTAAAAAGGTCATGTACATTTCTCCTTTTTGTATCGAAAAAAAATATTGAACCGTGAGACTAAAATATTGAACTGAATCGAATCATGAATTTTCTGTATCGTTGCACCCCTAATACGTAACGTAACTAACATAACATAACATAACATAACAATTATCTTGTTTTCTCTGTTCATATTCCTCAGTGTTGGACAGTTTTGTCTCCCAGACTGCTCTCTGCAGAGTAGCTTGGCTTTAACTGGCAGTCTGTTGTTCTGCCAGGGGAGAGCATAATCTTGAAACTGCACGGGAATGCAGCCAAAGGAGCGTGATCAATAACTTTCTATTTATTAACAGTTTTTGGATGCACTCACACTAGTGCTAGGACATTATCAAAGTTAATGCAGCAGCAGTCTGTGTCCTCCGCGTCTCCCTTTGCTGCGTACACTTTGGAGAGGGACTGAAACTGAATACTGTGTGAGTGTATTCCTGGAAATAACACTAAGGTTGAGGACACCTTTAGGACACAAGTGTTATTAGATATTTTGTGCATGTGCCTTTCATTTATTATTAACACAAATCCATAATGTAAATCTGCTGCATTTGATGAAATGTAACATTTTTAAGGTGGTTTTGTGCAAACTTTAAAGTGAGTCATTCTAATATCATTTTTTTTTGTTGAAAACTAGAGATTACATAAGCAAAAGAACTTTTTTTTTTTTTGTGTTATCTAACAAAAAAGCTAAAAAACTAAATCTTAAACAGCTTTGCCCTTCTTCAGGTCCCACTGCTCTTTTGGCACATGGCATCGGCTACGGCAGCACAGTCACTACACATCCTGCCATGAAGGAGAAGATGATGGCTGGAGGTAAAAAAAAAAAAAAAACAACCTTTGAACCACTAACTGTTTTTAATACACTTATCTGTACTACTGTCAAGGAGCTGTAAGTACTTGTGAAAGGCAGCAGATGGTGCTGTTCAAGCTTTTTGTTTGCCTGTAGAGAATCATGCCACAGTGCCTTTGGACAACACTGCACTTTGAGGTGAAAGAGGATGCAGGGATTTGACAGAACATACTAGAGCAGAGTATTAAATAATCCTGGTTTGTGTTTTTTTTTGTGCTTGAACTACTCTGATGCCTGTAATGTGTTGCTGTTCGCTCACACATGTTGTCATTATCCTTATGCTCTTTGTCTTTTTTTAGACCACTATAAATATTCAGAGGCCCGAGTGCAGAAGGATGGCCATTACATCACCAGCCGTGGGCCAGGGACCAGCTTTGAGTTCGCCCTGACGATTGTAGAGGAACTCATGGGGGCTGAGGTTGCAGCTCAAGTCAAGGCTCCTCTTGTTATGAAAGACTGACTTGGTTCACTTGCAGTCCTTGCAAACGTCACTGCTCAGCGTAATGTTCTGGAATAACGGAGACAGCTGACTCAATGTGTGGCTTGAACTAAACATAAAAGTGACRAATCATTTTCTCTACAGGACACAAGTCTAACAACTTATCTTCTTTCATTACACTGGTAATAAGAAAATCAAAGGCCCTTTAATCATGAAAATGTGGTATGGAAAATTACTAAAYGTGCTTTCAAAATAAAACGTCTGGTTTCGTTTTGTTAGTCACATTATTTTGACGGCTTGTCCCACCTATCTTGGATTGCCAACTTTCAGGAAAAGAAAAAAAAAAGCAATGATTGGACAGAGAGGCGCAGAGACAGCTGTATTTTGATGTTTTGATAATTCTCAGCTGTGAGGCTCTGTCACTATGGGGAAGATCTTATCTGGAAACCACAACTAAACCATTAAACCCATTATTACTTGTAGGTAATTGCTAGTGTGTTATATTTAGCTATGTGGCTAATTTTAGCTAGCCTTTTTGAAATATGCTGTCACYTTTTTTAATAAGAATTTGTTCAATTAAAAGACAAAAAGTAACTTAAGCATCAAACTTCTTCGTAGCTTCAATTAAGTATATTTTTGTCCCAGCAAGGAAAAAAAAAACAATTCTTCACTAGTGATTAGATGAAATCACTTAATTTAGTTTATTATTTCTAAATTAATTTCCAATGGTTCCTAAAAACAAGTGTGTTCCTTATGAACTTTAAAAAGAAAGCATCTTCCTTATTTTAAGGCACAGTAACAGGTGACCTGTCATGATAGCATTGTAAGATGAACCCACTTGTCTTCATATGAATCCTAAAGGTCACTGTTTTGTTTTGACTTGTGGTTCTGCTCAAAAGCCTAATAATAGGCTAATGCAGAGTTGTGAAGTGACTAAGTACAAATACTTTGTTACTGTACTTAAGTAGAATTTTTGGTTATCTGTATACTTGAGTAATTATTTTTCAGTGTACTTTTTACTTTTACTCATTACATTTTTACACAATTATCTATACTTTCTTCTCATTACATTTTTTAAAAAGGTAAGAAGTAGAAAGTCGTCACTATTTTATTCTGAGTTATTACTTAAAAAAACTATCTTGATAAATTGTGTCTCCTGGACAGAGTGAATTTAATTGTKKTTGGATGAGAAGTATAAATATATACCATTCTGACACACTATTAGCTTGTACACAACCCATCACAGCTGCACGCCGTTAGAAAAAAAATTTTTTTTTTGGAGGAATCACCTCTCAATGAATGTCGTTTTGGAAAATCTAACTGCTCACTTTTACTTAGTACTTTTACTTTTAATACTTTAGATTTTGTGTCAGAAATTTACTTTTGATACTTAAGTACAAAAAATATCAAATACTTTAAGATTTTTACTCAAGTAATATTTTTAGGGAAGACTTTAACTTTTACCAAAGTATTTTTATGATAAGATACTTGTACATTTACTCAAGTATCACTTTGAGGTACTTTATACCAGTGGTTCCCAAACTTTTTATCTTCAGACCCACCAAATATTCATGGCAAAAAATTGTGACCCCAAATATTACTGGTCTGAGTACACAAACTTTGTTAATAACCCTAAAAACAAAGGCTACACAAATATAAATACTTATTTATACTTATTTTGTGTTTTTGTAATAATTATAGGGAAATATTACACCACCAAGTATTTCAACCCTTTAAATCGATTTCTGAAGTGCAGTGGTTCTCAAACTTTTCAGCTTTTTACTCACAAAATAACAGTAGCAGAGACCTGTGCCCACAACTATTTTTGGATGATAAACACATGTATCTGATCAACTTTTATTATTTATTATTCTACATTTATACATTTTAGGCAACTAAGGCAAAAATGTAATTAATTTAGAAAATATTATCAGGACCCCACCTTGATGTTTCAGGACCCCACTTTGGGTCCCGACCCCAACTTTGGGAACCACTGCTTTATACAGCACTGTATAATGTAACGTACAGACRGGGACGCGGGAAGAAGAATCCAAAAAGATTGACAGCTGGCCTGGCCAATGAGAAACCTCGTGTTGTCTGCAGTTGTGTTGTGATTGACGAATGACATCACCGGAAAGCCAGGGGGCGGGGCTTAGAATAAGGCGCATGGTCGCTGTGTCAGAGCAACAAAATCCAGTGGGTCGCTTCACCACAGTTGAGAAGGAAGAGGAGGATTTTACCAAAGGTAGGACAATTGGGTTAATAACTTCGAGTAGTGTACGGATTATTCAGAATCATAAGAACCAAACTGCACCTCCGAAATGCGTTCAATTGTGTTGATGTATTTGTTAAGCTTGCTATTTAACGTGATCGCAAGCAAACCATCACATWAAGCAACCTGCCTAAAATGCACAGCGTGTATCTGCTAAAATGATCCTGGGTGTATTAGCCGTGATTAGCTTGCTGAGTGCTGCGCCTGAAGTTTGCTGCAATCTTACRGCATTATAAATGGATTGACATCAGCGTCCAAAACAACTGGCCCTGGAGTGGAAGACAGGGGTTATCCCGYGGTAACGTTTGTCATTCATGCTCACGTTTCAGAGATACGCGTTCACACAGACTGAGCGCTCACACACAGAGCCAGTGGTTGCAGCGGAGCAGAGAGGAGAAGGCTCTGCAGATGTGAGACGACATGGAGACGTCAGTTCCAGAAGCTCTCCATCCTCCGCTGCAAAGAGCCGCAGTCAGACGGCCGCTGTCTGTGTGGTAATGCATTGCGGCAGAGAGAGGCCAGGTTAGACCTGACCAGAGGGGCTAAAATATAAAATCATAGCATTGCTATACAACCATARCCACTTCAAGAACCATGTTCCTGTTTGTAAATCTGCAGCAGTATTTTTGCTGTGATGACTTTGCTTTACCAGAGAGAAAGATCTGATCTTCTTCACTTTTGACACTTTCACACAGGAACAACCATATGCTCTCTCTCTCTTTTTTTCTAATCATTCACTTTACAGCGGCAGGAAATGCAAAGCAAGTTCCCCTCTGGTGGACTGCATGTTCAGTTGCTGAGAAACTGCCTCAGCAGCTGCAGCAGTCACACCATAAGATGCCCGGGTCATCCAAATCAGAGTGGCTTTTTTACCCACCGTTATCCTCCCAGAACAGCATCCTGCAAAACAAAGACCGGGGCAATGTTTCTTATTACGTTACAAGGGACTTATCACAGTTAACGTCACATCATATCAAAATCAGGAGGGTGCACCTGTGTATAATGATCACCTCTGGGTGCTGTTGGAAAAGTTACAGCTAGTTGAGTTTAGATGCTTTAGACAGGGCCGTGCCCGTCATGTCGTAACAGCATCACCATATTATGTTATCCAAGCTCAAGAACTGATCTTTGCCTCTCCCTGCAGGAGAAACAYGACTGCTTAAATATTGTTTTGACGACGACGTATAGCGCATAGTCTCATTAACGCTGTGCTTTTCCAGTTGGGTATTTCTGGAAACGTTAACATTTTGAGTCGTTCCGCATAACATGCTAGAATTATTCTGCTCGAGCAGCTGTACAGTAAAGAACTGGAGGCTTGACTCCCTATTTCTGGACGGGGCAGAAGACGTCCGGGTTGGGGGAAGGGTGAGGCTGAAGTCTCTGCCTGAGTCATTGGTTTAGCTAATGATGCAATTAGGCTGCTGCTTTTTTGCATCTCCTGATTAGATCCTTCGCTTGCATTGGCCTGCAGACAGTAAAGGCAGAAATTAGCTTGACTGAATACTGAATATTTTTCCAACAACGAGTTCCAATAACCCAAGCACACGGCTTTATCACATGTTTTTTTGTAATCGGCAACATACGCATGAATCTGGTTTTGGCACTCACTGTGGAATTTAGCTGATGTGTTTTGGTCWCTTCACACTTTCGTAACATTAAAAATTAAATACAAGCTGTGCTAAATTGGGTCAAATCTGTTATAACAATTTGTACATGTATAAGTCCTGGTTAAACTAAACGTGTACATGCTGTACCTGCTTCTTTTTGATTCTTGTCAAGATTGCACCGGAAGCTGAATGTGCAAGAAAAACTCAACAGGGTTGACATGATTGGGTTTGGAGCTATATAGTCAACTATATAGTTGCCAATTGATTTTGATGCTGCCACGGCTAATCAAATTTATCAATCAGAAAAAATGGCTTTAACTCAGTCAGTTCTAAAGGTACTGAGCTAAAATTTGGTATGGTAGTGGCTGAGAAGCATCCCTAACACATTCTCTGAATATGGACATCATTATACAAGATACTTGTTTAAAGGGATCCCTGATTAGTTGTAACATTAGGCTTTATTTGATAAACATTTATTTTAACTGTAAAATAAAGACTGTAAAAATACTGTAGGACCTCAGTGAAGAGAGGAGAATGTGTCGCGCTGAGCTAATACATG